CTCAGTAAGACATTGGTTTGAAAACTGTAAATAGCTGAGTAGACAAACAAGTAAGAGGCAGATAGATAAAGGAGCTGTATTACATGCGTCCCTAAATACCAACAAGCAGAAGGCCTCAGGGGTTGATGTTGCTGTTTAGAGACTGACAATCCTGGTTTCAATTTCAATCCTGTCACTTGAAGACACTTACAGGACTCTGGGTGGGTTTTCTGAGCCCCAGTTTCTACTGAGCCTATGAAAATAAACAACTTCTGCTTACCAAGTATTTCCCATCCTGTGACTGTCTCTGATTTGGAACTGCAGCTAAAACCAGATTTGAATGTAATGGGTGTGTCTTGTGAGGCCAGCAGGGGGCACCATCTTGTCACTGGAACCTGATTTCATTAAGGAGACTTGTTTACACTGTACAGAGCCCCATATTAGCCTTCCAAGGACCTAAACAGAGGAGTGATTTTGGTCTCCAGCATTTTGCGATAAGACACTCATAGGATTTAAATGATGATAAATGATGGTCTGGAAAGTATCAGTGTTACATATTAACAAATCAAAAACCCCCTTTCACTACAATATAGTTGTTTCAGTTCAATGAAACAATCCATATTTATGGTACACTATTTAATAGTTAAGAGAATTATAGTAAAAGAAAATTTTTTTTGTACCTCCAAACCTCACTTAACCTCACTATCTCTCCCTAAAGGCCATCCATTTGCCCACCAAACAGCATGGAAAGATGAAAACTGACAGAACCTCCCTGAATGTGTTTGAAAGAATGCCATTAATATTGATTTATATTTTGCTTTTTCCATGCAACTATACATTGGAGATATCCCTTTTCAGTACAAATACACCATTTTATTATTAACTATAAGAAATATAGAAAATAATTTTATAATGAATACACATACTTACCACATATTTTTATAATCAATACTAGACTGTACTTCTTTGTTACACAAATGTCCATTGGTTTCTCATTTTATCCATTTTTTCAATGCACCTTATTTTTTGTTATATTTCAAAGGGATTTTCAGACATTAATTCACTTCTGCCTAAAAGCTTCAGCATGAAGAAAATGGAGTTCAGTATTTGTAAGTCCTTTCCTTCTCCCATTAGACACAGATTTTAAGGGGGCCACTCCCTGGCTTTTGACAGACATATAAGCCTGTATAACCAAGTGTCAGTTCAAATGTAAGTCAGTACTCCACCCAGAAAGTACCCTCATGTCCCTCCCAGTCAATTACATAGGCATGCATTATTTTCTTTCCATCTTTAAAAATAGTAACATCTTCTAGCATAAGACACAAATGTTTGATTTTATTCTCTCTGTGTCTTTGGGGAAAAGGGTTCAAGACAGGGTTTCTCTGTGTCACCCTAGCTGTCCTGGAACTTGTTCTGTAGACCAGGCTGGCCTCCAACCCATAAAGATGTGCCAGCCTCTGCCTCCGAAGTGCTGGGATTAAGGGTGCGAGCCACCTGCCCCCCTGATTTTCTTCTCTTTTAAGGGAAGTATACATTTGATCAATGACCTCCCAACTGGTAACCATTTAGGATGCATTTAGGATTTTACAATCAGTTTATTTTTATATCTGTCTTGATTTGTATTTATAATTAAGATAAATACTTTTCTCTCTCTAATAGTTCATATAAAATTTTTTAAAGGCAAAAAAAAATTTTTTTTGCCAGAGCAGCTCTAACTTATCTTGCCTCAGGCTCCCAAACGATGGCCTTCCAGGTATGAGCTTTCAAACAGACTTCTTAGTGGGTATAGCCAAATTGCCTTCCAAGGCAGTTTCAGTACTTTGTCCTCTGATTTGGGAAAGACCTGCTCCTTCATACCTCAAGGAAGTGTTGGCAAACTTGAGATTCAACTGATGTTTTCTCTTGCAATTGTTTATGCCTGTGCTGTAAGTGTATTAACGGCTTAACGTGAGGACTCATTGGCAGGGAGCTCACAGTAGTCCATGTGGGAAGTTGGGTAGCTGTAAAGCTGGATATAAAATGACAAGTGCTGGAAAGAAGGTGCGGAGTGCTACTGTGATTCAGAGGAGGGGCTGGGTCCTGGGAGGGTGGAGACTGGAAGGATGCCAAAGAGGGCTTCTTCCCATGCCTTTATGGGTGTCCCAGTCGTTAGCATTGGCCTGGAAATAAATAATTGCTTTGTCATTTGATGGCAATTAGTGAATAGATACTGGTTTAATAACCCACGATCTTCTGATTGTTTCCAGGATATTTTATCACACTCTGAGATGTGTCTCTGTCCTCCTTCAGCCGCCTAAGGCACCTTCTGATTGGTTTAATAAAGACCTGAACAGCCAATAGCCAGACAGGGAGGATAGGTGGGCCTTGTGGACAAAGATAGGAACTTGGGAAGAATTTGAAGTGTGGGAATTCACCATGCAGACAGGGACAAGCTGGACTTACAGTACTGAGGAGAGGCAGTGAGCCACACAGCAGGATGGCAGGGCGCAGATTAACAGAAAGGGTGAACTAAGCTATAAGAGCTATTTGGGAACAAGTCTAAGCTAAGGCCAAGCCCTCATAATTAATAAAAAATCTCAATGCCATTATACGGGAGGTAGCAGTCCAAAGAAGGACCTTTTGATCTTTGATCTCTTGATTTCCGTTCAATTCAATTATCCTTCCTCTTTCATCTTTTTAAATTGTGTCTTTTTTTTTTTTTTCAGTCTGACATCAGATAGAGCAAGCTACACCTTAGAACATGGGTGTGGTTGAGAAAGGAGTTAGAATTCTTTCTCCTCTGCTTCCTCCTCCTTCTACTTTTTGTTTTTATTTTGTTTGAGACAAGGTCTCTGTGTAGTTGTAGCTGTCCTGGAACTCACTATGTAGATCAGGCTGTCCTCAAATTCTCACCTCCCCCTGCCTCTGCCTCCCAAGTGCTCAGATTAAAGATGTGTGTGCCCATGCCTGCCCAGGTAGTTATTTCTTAACACTGGTAATATGTGGATGGTAACACTCTGGAAGTATGTGGACCTATATGCCAGTGACCGATTTCAAATTTAGATTCAACAAATGAATATTCAAACCAACACAAAAGTCTCTTATTAACAGTAGATGTCAACCATGATTGAAACAGCATCACAAAGCTTCCCATTCAGGTGTCTCTGGAATGTTTCATTATGTAATTTCCATGTCCTTTATACAGTCCATTAATATCTAAAATATAGAAAAAGAAATGGGAAAGAAAAGAAATCATCTGATCCAAGCCAATGGTTTTCGTTTTCCCCAAATTCACTAAAGAGACTCTCAGCCCTTGCAGAAGAGGCCCAGGGTGAGGAAGCAGGAGTTCCTCTGGCCTCCCAAGCCCTCACTGCTCTCTTGCTTCTGCTTTTACTGCTGTCTCTACCCAGGAATAACAGGAAAATGAAGACGGGCTATAAATCCCTGGAGAAGGAAGAAGATGGATAATGGCCTCCAGACTCCACTCTCCTGCAGATTCCCCCTTCCCAAACTTCTGGCCTCCCCTGGGGCACCATTTCCTGCAGTCTGCACTTCTGTAGTTACTGACTTTTCCTTCTCCCTTGACCTTTCTTTCTCCTAGAATTTGCTACCTACACCTCCTTCTCTCTCCTTTTCTTCCATTTCAAGAGCTTTGCTTCATTTTCTTGAGATCATTTACTCAGCATATATTCTATACTTCCAGGAACGTGGTGTGTTTGTGTGTGTGTGTTTGTGTGTTTGTGTGTGTGTGTGTCCAGAATTACATTAAAACTTTCTCCATTTTTAAAAATGTTGCTGCTTGTTTCTAGTGACTTTAGGATCAGACATACCAAGTACTTGAAACATCCGGTATTAACTCTGTAAGTTGTGCTATCTTGCAAGATATGCTGGAAGTTGTCATTGTATATATTCTTCCCTAGATCATGACAGAATGGTCACTGTTTGGACCACAATAGTACCTTCCTTATTTAAAGTGTCACTTTCCATGGTTTTACTTCCCTACAGTAAACTAACATTGGCAAATGGAAACAAAACAATATATTACTGATTGTTTGCCCCAAGAATAGCTTGAGTCAAACTCATGTAAAGGTGCTTGCTCCAGACTGTGTAAGCCTAGCCACTTAAGTTTAATTCTAAGCACCCAAGTAATGATTCTGACCCATATATGTGTGCAGGGGCACACACACACACACACACACACACACACACACACACACACACACAAATAAATGACAATAGAGCCAGGCATAGTGTTGCATGCCTTTAATCCCATCACTTGGGAGGTAGAGACAGGTGAATCTCTGTGAGTTCAGGGACAACCAAGTCTCCATAGAGAGTTCTAGGACTGATAAGGCTACATGGTGAGAACCTGTCTCAAGAGCCAAAATAACTAAATAATCATAGTTCATGAAGTCCTGTGCCTTCTCTCTTACGATGTAATCATCCGCTTGTTCGGTATGTCCACACTACCCACCTCCTTTTCAGTGGTCGCCTCTATTATCAGATCAAGTGCTGTAATACTGAAATACTTGTGTTCAAATAACACTTTTATTGTAACAAAGCACAAATTGATAGTATGGTATGCTTTGGGTTACTCTAGTATTCGTCGGTGATGTACCGAGTGTGTAAGTTAAACCTCATAGACAGCTATGTATTGACAAAAACGTAGTATGTAGAGCTTGAGGTTATCATCAATTTCAGGCGCCCTTTAGGTGTGTTGCAGTGTATTGGATGGACATGAGCAAAGACTGTTAGATTCATTCCGGCCATTGTGCTAATCCCTGAGATCCTGAACACAAGAACAGATATAATACAGAGCATCCACCCTGACTCAGTCTTTAAAACGCCGAGCACCCCAACAAGGAATAATCATTATAGATACATCTATTATAGCTCCTTCATTCCTCCAAACTTGTATCCTGATGCATTGGTCTTTGCTTCAGAGATCAAAGTTCCAGAGCAGGTTGCACACACCTGAGAGGCTCTCCTAAGTAACAACTTGCCCTTTACACCACCAGTCTCTGCTTATCAATCTGGTGGCCATGGACCGGCCACACCGCCTGGCCCCGCCCCGCAGGGCAGGGCGGGGTCTCTCCCGGAGCCTGCACACTGGGGCCCTCAGCAGTCCCGCCTGCAGTTCCCGGGCTGGAATTGTCTGCTTGCTTCCCTGCTCTGTGCTCTTCGCCTTCGCCCTGCACAACACTTTGGGGATGGAGCCGCGCACCCTGGAGCTGTTCTACGACGTTCTGTCCCCCTACTCCTGGCTGGGATTTGAGGTGACACGGGGAAGCCGCAGGGGCTGCGGCCCGTGGGGCGAGCGAGCGCACAGCGGGGCACTGGGCACCAGGCAGCAGAAATCGCTGGCGATGCCCTCAAGTTTAGGGCGAAGCACAGACTGTTCCCGGCCGAAGTTCACTTCGGGCCTTGGAACGGACTGTGTTGTGTGTCTCTAAGGAGGGTCCGGATTCCCTAAGGTCAAACGTCCTCTTCCCCCGGGCCCCAGGAGAGACAGGGACAACACCAAGGACGCAAGTCAGGCTGGGTGGGTGGGGGACTCAGGGGCGCCAGGATGCTCTACAGCAGAGGCTCTCAACCTTCCTGCTGCCTGGACCCTTTAATACAGTTGCTCCAGAAAGTCTTCGCGCCGCAACTTCGTAACTGCAATTTTGCTACTGTTACCAATCATGAATGCAGATGTCTGATGTGTGCAGAATATCCGATGTGTGTGTGTGCGACTCCTGCAAAGGGTCGTTTGACCTTCTCACCCAAAGCATCCCTACCCACGGGTTGAGAACCCTGCTCTTCAGGGTGGGAAGTCACACACTAGAATAAGGAGTCCCGTGTCTGCTTCAAAGAACTGAGAGTTTTGTCCTTTTAAACCAAGCAGCTCGGTGTGGAGTAGTCAGTCCCCCCCTGCTTTGCACTCAGAGCCAGGCAGGAGACAACCCTGTGGGCCACTTGAGCCATCTGTCCCGTCCAGATGCCACACGGGCTCCCTTTCTTGTTTCTGCACGGGTAGGTCCTATGCAGGTACCAGCACCTCTGGAATGTCAAGCTGCAGTTGCGTCCCACGCTCATCGCTGGGGTCATGAGTGACTGCGGTAAGTAGGGAGGAGCCCTCCTGGCTGGGCAAGCAGGCTTGTTTTCTGCAGCCTGAGGGGGCCGGCCTTATGCTAAGAGTGCAGGCCTCAGACCTCCTAAGCTGGGAGTCTTGCCCTGTTGGGGAGGGGTTCCCCAAGCTTGAGACACTCATGTTCACTCACAATTGTCTGACTCTCCACTGCCAGGAAACAACTCTCCAGCTATGCTTCCCAGGAAAGGCCAGTACTTGAGCAACGAGATTCCTCTCCTGGGACAACACTTCCAGGTTCCCATCAGTGTGCCCAAGGATTTCTTCGGTGTGATTCTTAAAAAAGGTGAGGAGTTTGGAGCAATGGCTCAGAGGTTAAGAGCGCCCAGCTGCTCCTCCGATTTGAATCCCAGCACCAACTCTCTATAACTCTAGTACCAGAGGAAATAGAAACAAAGTAAGTAAGTAAATAAGAGAGGGTCAGAAGGGGTTGGCAAATCTAGAGGAGAACTGAACAGTTGGGGCTTTCGAAGGAGCTCAACCCAGCTTCAGCTCGCCAAAAGTGTGTGTGGGGGGGAAGGGGACAGAAATAAGGGCTGAGCACAGTAAATTCATAATGCGAGACTGGTGTTGAAGACTGTCAGTGACTGAGCCTGGGGGGTGGGGTGGGGTGGGGGAGGCGCGGTCTCAGAAGTCAGGATCAGCTGGTCCTCTATCAGGATACAAGGAAGAGGCATCGTAACTCCGTGTGCCTGTGCCCCAAGGAACTTTAAATGCCATGCGCTTCCTCACCGCTGTGAGCATGGAACAACCAGAGATGCTGGAGAACGTGTCGAGAGAGTTATGGATGCGCATTTGGTCTCGAGTGAGTGCTGGACTCTGAGTCCCGGAGGGGAGGGACTGGTAGCTAGATGGCATTCTGACCCTTCCCTGGGCAATTCCCAGAGATAGGACCCTGCTCTTTTACCCTTCTCTCTATCATCCCCTTCCTGTTAACTTTTCTCTTTTCCTTAGGATGAAGATATCACAGAGTCCCAGAGCATCCTGGCTGTGAGTGTCTGAACTGAAACTACCCACACCAATGTTGCAGGGAATCTCAGAAAATAAAGGGTTCTTAGTGACTTAGAAAGAAAAGTCTGGGTCTAGGGGGCACAAATTACTATGAAGATGGACCTACGAGGATTCTTTCAACAATGTTCCATTGTTGTAGCTGAACTGTAGAGTGCATGCTTAATCTGCTTGAGGCCCCGAGTTCAATCCTTCACAGCAACAAAAATGTCTACTGTGGACAATACTCCTATAAAATAAAATTGATGAAAGAAATGAACAAAGTCAGTGCGAAAGAGAGGAATCGTGTGGGAACCCCAGATGGGGAAGGATGGAGCCTTCCATTCAGAGGCCTCCAGAGACTCCTGACACAAATGTCACTAATATATGCCTGCTACCAAGCAGGAGACTTTACACAGACAATGAGATACCTGACAAATGAGAGGTAAAGAGATGCTCGTTGAGAAATACATGGAAAGTGCTCCAAACATGGAGGTGTGTGTCAGACAGAAAGAGGGAGCTTTAAATTCAGATTTTCTTTGGAGTGGAAGTCAAGGAACTCAAAACGAACTTTTCCTCCCATGTGTGGGAGATCGTTGAAGCTTATTCTCTTAACACAGGAAACATCACATCATTCCTGAGCTAGATATTAGAAGAATGGCTAGCTTATCCTCTAGTGTCTATATCTAGGTCCTAAAAACATATGTGTGTGCATAATTGCAGCCTGCTTTTACTTAAGATTTCACAAATATTTCTAATAAGCCCACTTCTCTCAGGGGCTTATCCTTTTCCCTGTTGCTTAACAACTTTCTTATTTAACTAACAGAGTGGCTTATTGGTTGAGTTTTTGCTTCTGTACCTGGGTTGTCCAGGGATGTCCCGACGAGTGCCCACTGTCACCCCAGAAAGGCTGATGCCATCATCTAGTGGCATTAAAAAGCTCTCCAGGAGATTCCAGGTTGAAAGCCACTAATTCAAAACTTTCAGGAACATCCCAATCAGGCATCATATGATCACTCTATGGAAGCCAAACAGGTGGCCATAGCAATGACTACATTCCAAGCATCTTCAGGAGATTCTACAGGGCTGAGAACCCAGCCTGAGACTGTTAGGAAGTCCATGGCATAGGGAAGAAAGCACTCGGGATTTGAATTCCAGGCATATGGCCTTTAATTCCGCTACTGACAAACTCTGTGCCTCTGAGCAAGTAATACATGGCCTTTGACTCCTGTGCATTGACTAGCTAACTGGGGCTGCTGGTCTCTGTGATGTCCTCTGCTCCTGTTTCTGTGTCTATGACATCTTTTTGCCCTTGGCCTTTCCCACTCTTTTCAACACTTTGGGGCAAGGAGACAATTTGTCTTGACTAGGATAAATACCCTATTACTTGCCATTGGGCAAAGGTCTTCCCAGGGAAACTTGAGGTCAGAGAAGGACAAGAATAGCCTCTTCTCTCCACCTACCTGCACAGTGCAGACACAACTCTATGCCCTTTCTCATCTCCCCAGGCTGCAGAGAAGGCAGGAATGGCCACAGAGCAAGCCCAAAAGTTTCTGGGGAAAATGACTACAGCACAGGTGAAGGACAAGCTCAAGGAGACTACTGAGGCAGCCTGCAAATACGGGGTGAGCAACTCCATGGATATCCCCAGGTGCAGCCTTGAAGGTAGAGAAGGAATGCCAATATGGGTGCCCAGTCTCCTCCTGTTCAAACACCTTCTCCCCATCTTGAGTCCTCCTCCCCCCTTCTCCTAAAGACCTCATCTTCTCCCTCTTTCCCCTAAGCCTAGTCAAGGAAGGAAGGGAGGTAGATAAAGGTTTTTAAAATAAGGAGCTATGTGCCACACAGGGAGCAGAGAAGATGCTGCTTGCAAACGCTTCATCTGCTGTGTTCTGTCTCAGCCAAACTAACTCTACCTCAGCCTAATGAGCACCTGCTCTATCACCTTCCTTCCCACTCTGTTTTCTCTAGGCCTTTGGGCTGCCTTTCACTGTTGCCCACGTGGATGGTAAAACACACATGTTCTTTGGCTCTGACCGCATGGAGTTGCTAGCCTACCTGCTGGGTAAGTTCAAGTTTCCATTCTCTTGAGCTTTTGTCCCCAGCCCAACACCCATCAGATGACCAGAATAGCAGCAGGAGTTCCTGGGATACTTCCAACATGGAAGCCTCATACAGTTGGTGCTGATCAGGGTTAAATGGGTGTGGAAAGTCTTCTTCCCCATTGGGGAGAAAGAAGCCTTCTAGACCTTGAAGCCACTCAGGTCCTGGAAGGTCCTAGAGCTCTTTGGCAACATCTCCTGCTGCTAACATGTCTGAGAACCATGTATGGACATCTGTCATTTTCTTTATCTTAGGAGAGAAGTGGATGGGCCCTGTGCCCCCAACCCCAGGTGCTACACTGTAAGGTTGCCTCAGGAAGCAAACTTCGATTTCTCTGTTTGAGGAAGCTACCTTTCCTGGCTGGCCCTATGGGCTGAAGCAGGATCCTGCCTTAGATGTGCCTGCCTTTACTTCTGAGCCTCACAAGTGCCTTTTGGAAATCCTTAGGTTCTGCATTCATAAAATAAACCTGATGCCACTAGACAAAAAGTTTCTGGGTCTGTGTCTGCCTGGCTGGTGTTGTAATATCAAGATCCTGTGATCACATGCTACCCACAACACAAGTTGGTTGAGAAGAGTTCATTCTGGGTTCTCAGGCTTCCTGACTCCCCACAGCACTGTGGGGCAGCCGTAGGAGGAAGTATTGCCTTCCTCTTATTCAAAAAACTTGAGTTGGAGACAGAAGACTACACTCAGTGGACCTAGCAATAAATCAGCTTGGCATTAGCTGTCTCTGAGCAGCCAGGGGCACTGAGAAAGGAGTATGGCCAGGAACCCTGTAAATAGTGGACACTGAAGGAAAGTGGTAAACAGTCCAACTGTGGTCAGATTTGTAATGTGAGTCCAGCAATACAGGCCAGCAGAACCAGAACAAGGCAGTCATCGGCCTTGCTGCTATAACTTGGAGATGTTGTTTAATTGTTGTATTTTCTTTTTTTCCTATTGTTAGATGGAGCATCTCTGTGTAGCCCTGGCTGTTCTAGAACTTCCTTTGTAAGCCAGGCTGACCTTGACCTCAGAGAAATCCATCTGCCTCTGCCTACTGAGTGCTGAGGTTAAAGGTGTGTGCCAGCATGGCCTGGATGAGGCCATTTATCATACATAATTCCTGACATCCTGAGAACACACCAGGCCTCTGTAATCAGCTTGCTATATAATACCTGTTCCCTCCTAAGTATCTTCAGCTTTTCCATTCCTCCCTCTCGCTGATCAATTTCTGTTTTGGTTTGGTTTTTTGTTTCATGAGACAGTTTCTCTGTATCTTTGGGGCCTCTCCTAGAACTCGATCTGTAGACCAGGTTGGCCTGGAATTCAAAGAGAACCATCTGTCTGCCTCCTGAGTGCTGGGATTAAAGACATGAGCCACCACTACCTAGCACCTCTGTCCAATTATCTACCTTAATCCCCACTTACATTTATTCCCTAATGTTCAATAATCAGAAACTTTTCTTGATGTCATACTAACTTATGTGGTAATGATGTTCTGACCCAGGGCCCATGCTTGGACACCTGATGGGAACCAAGGACCACAGCTTTAAATCAGTCCTTCATGTCAGCTTCTCTCTGCTGTCTCCCTCTGGTTTTCTCAGTTTATATTCCATTTTCCCCCTGGAGACTCCATTCCTTTCATCTTCTCATCTCTTCTCTCCCACAATGCCTGCATCTTCTAGGGTCTAAAATCATCTTTGCCTGGATTCACTAAGGTGTAAAGCCAGAAGTACATCTCAAATGGACTATTATTCCCTTCTGCAAAGGAGCCATATAGTAAATACAGTTCACCTAAAATTAAAAAATTATGAAGCCCCCCACAAAGTTTACAAACATAAGGCCAAGTTAAAACACTGAGTAGCTTTGTATACTTTAGAGTTACCCAGGAAATAGTGAGTGTAGAGTCTTAGGGATAAAGATGTGTGACTATGCACTGTATTCTCTTTTAAACACTGTGGCTGGTGAGCAAGGTGGCCCAGTGGGTAAAGGTGCTAACTGCCAAGCCTAATGATCTGAGCTGCATACTTAGAACTTTCGTTGTCAAAAGAGAAAATCGACTCTTGAAAGTTGTGTCTGAACCACCCCACTACACACACAATATATATACCACTCCACACGAGTGGCCACACATACAAACACAAATGTAGTTTAGTTTCTTTATTTGAAAGAGCAGACTTTATGCACAGCATATGTTTACACATTAAAACAACAATAGAGTAATTTAATATCATCTTAAGCAGGAGAAAAAAATCAAGAAATTTCAGTTTACAGAATGTCTCACTATACAATTACTTACAAGGCCAAGGTTTCCTGATATGGCTGGCAGGAAATTAAACCAGGAATCACAGCAAGACTCAGGCTGGGACAATTTTCACTGAGAGCCATCAGACTTCTTATCCCCTTATTATCAGAAACAGAATATGGTAGCAATTGCCAGGGTCAATGAATGCAGTTTTAGTTGCCAGGATACAATGATGATATCAAGCTATACAAGGTAAACAAGATTAATGTTAACAGTAGTTGTCCTATCCAGCTTTCAAGCTTCCTTGACTTCTGAGGGAACAAGCAGAGAAACACTAGGTGGCCTGAACACTTCACTACCTGAGGGAGTGCCTTGCTTTCTCAGGAACTGAAAGGCACAGAGTGCCCTAGGAGCCATGAACTCTAACCTGAAAAATCTATGATGCTTGCCTCTCAAGGCAGTTTGGCTGGGCCTACACTTCACCTCAAAATATCTATTAATCTCTTGTCTTTGGTCAATTAATATGGCAAATGTGTTTGGTGCCCAGTCCTGTCTTGTTCCTATTGCACTAATGATCAATAGAATTAAAAACAAGCAAAGCTCAACTTTCACAATTACTGTCCCAAAGGAGCAACATACAAGGGAATCCTATGTAATGTAAGAATAGGTCTGGGTACTTTAATTGAGATTTGATAGTGCATGAAAAAAAAAAAAAACTATGATAGCACTGAAACTAGAAAAAAAAGACAGCTTTCCATTTTCTTTCATGATTCATGTCCTTGTTTGTCTTCCGGCCTTCCTCATCACCTAAGAGTTGCCTGTCTTTCTCAGTTTTAGACTGTATTAGTTATTTTGCTGTTTGATAAATAGAATGACCAAAAGCAGCTTCTAGAAGAAAAGGAAACTATTTTTGCTGATGGTTGCAGAGGGACAATCCACAATGGAATGGAGAGGAAGCAGCAGGAAGCCAGAGCAGGAAACTGAGACCATCCAAGAGCAATCGGGCAGCCAGCAGAGAGGCAAAGAAGAAATGGAGTAAGGTTGTAAGCCCTCAAAGCTCACCTGTGGTGATCATTTCAGCCTCCAAGGCTGCATCTCCTCAAATAGAGCCACCAACTGGGGAGCAAGTGTTCAAATACATGAGCCCATCGGGGACAGTTCCCATTCAGACTGCAATATCCACCAATAACTGTTTACATACATGTCTACATTATATGCCAGGACCTATAGATGAGGAAGAACAAGTGGTTCTTTCTGTACTCGGATCATCTTGCTTAAGGTATTTTCCAGGTCCTTCCATTTTCCTGAACATTTCATGATTTCATGTTTTCTTCATGGCCAAATAATCCTGCATATTGTATGTGTACACCATTTCCGTTGTTCTTGTGTATATTGATGGGCATTTAGGAAGGGTCCATTTTCTGTCTATTGTGCATATAGCATCAGTAAACACAGACATGCAGTGTCTGTCAGGAAGAAGTACAGTCCTTTGGGTGAATGCCCAGGAGTGGTATATCTGGATCCTATGGCAGTTCTGTTTTAATATTTTTTTGATGAACAGCCAAACTGGTTTTCATAATGGTGTATTAATCTGCACTCCCTCAGCCATGGGTATGGGTTCCTGTTTCCCCATATCGTCTCCAACATCTGTCAGATTTCTTGAAGACAGTAGTGGTGCATGATTTTAGAGTAGTCTTCATTTACATATCTCTGCTGAGGAGAGGTACTGAATACTTAAAATAGTTATTGGCCATTTCATGCTTCTTCTTTTGAGAATAACCATTCAATTTTAGCACATTTCTTTTTTAAAAATTTTATTTATTCATTATGTATATAACATACTGCTTCCATGTATATCTGCAGATCAGGAGAGTGCACCAGATGTCATAATGGATGGTGGTGAGCCACCATGTGGTTGCTGGGAATTGAACTCAGGACCTCTGGAAGAGCAGTCAGTGCTCTTAACCTCTGAGCCATCTCTCCAGCCCCAATTAGCATATTTTTTGATGGGCAGTTTTGTTTTATTGCTGTTAATTTTTTGGAAGTCGTTGTAAAACTCTGGTTATTAGTTATCATTCTTAAGTAAAGATTTTCTTCCATTCTGTGGACTGTCTGTCTGCTCTGGTGGTGATTTCTTTTGCTATACAGAAATTTTTAAATTTCATGTAGCCCCATATGTTGATTCTAGAGCTAAGCTGTAGAATTCCGTTCAGGAAGTTGCTGCCTACGCCAATATCTTCAGTATTCCTTGTGTTTTTCCCTAGAAGCTGCAGTGTTCTGGGTTTTAAATTAAGGTCTTTTATTTTTTTACAAGGCCAAGGATTCACATCCAATTTCTTCCTTCTGCAGGTGGATATTCGGTTTTGTCAGTACCATTTGTTGAATAGGCTGTGTCCACTGCATGCTTTTTTCCAGCTTTGTCAAATATTAGGTATCCATAGCTTGGTTGGTTTATAAATCTTTTTCATTTCTGGCAAATTAAACATCCAACAGCACTGGGATGCTGCAATAACATCGACTCATTCAGGAAATAAATCATCACACCTCAAAAAGTGTTTGTGTGGAGAATTGTTAAGAGCACTGGAAATTCTTGGAATATAATATTGATTGGGAAAATACCAAACTACATATACTCGGACTTCAACACATCATCATAAGAATTTTGTAGGAAAGGCATTAGGATATTAACATATGAACTGTGGATTGCACTCTTGGTGAAGGTTGAACCGGGAGAGGCCTTTCTCTTATGGCTGGGGAAAGAAAGAAGCTTGAATCGAGGGTCTCTGGATCCTGCAATGATAACCCCAGCTACAAAGACCTTTGTCTTTTTTAAGCTTCCTGTGACTGTGGTAAAATACCTGACAAAAGCCACTTAAAAAAAAGAGGGGTTTATTTTGTTTCACCATCTGAGGTGAAAGTCCAACATGGTGGAGCAGTCAGGGCAGTGGGATCCTGAAGCAGCTTGTCTCAGTTCACCTGGAGTGAGGAAGAAGAGAGACATGGCTAGTTATGCTCAGCTCACTTTCTCCTTGTAATGAAATCCAGGACGGCAGCATAGGAGACTGTGCCACCCATAGTGTGCGTCTTACTCAGGATTTTCTACGGCTGTGAAGAGACACGCTCATCACAGCAGCTCTTTTAAAGGAAATATTTAATTGGGGAACCTTACTTACTGTTTCAGTTTAGCTCATTATCTTCACTCCAGGGAGCATGGTGGCATGCAGGCAGACTCGGTGCTGGGGCTGAGACTACT